TGGGGTTGTTAACCAATGTCATAAAACAATGTGTACTACTGTTTCATGAGAAACTATTTGTTCTGTAAGCCTTCACCTGAAGTACAATAAAAAAAAAAAAAGTAAATTACTAAAAAAAGAACCCTTCACTTTTAGGTGACATCCCCCTGCATTCCTGTTGGTAAGAAGAGAGAGATGTTCCTTCTTTAATGTTTTACACTGACCACGGTAACTTTTGGCACCTATATTTCAAGTAAGCTCATGGTAAACCTCTCTACAAAATCTTATTTTTATGATGAGAAGGATGAGACTACTTCATCAGCATCTCTCAAAGTAACAATTATTTGTGGCTTAATTTTAAATCCTATTGAAAGCATACAAGAAACTATCTTATTTATGGTAAAATAGTGTATCAAGAAACATGAAGGAAAAAGGAGCCACGGGCCTCTCAGCATCTGGTGGGGTGGTGGGTGGGGAGAAGTAGCATGTGCTTGTTGGTAGTGTTGTGTGCAAGTGAGTCAATTCTGATTCATAGTGACCCTACAGCAACCCTATATGACAGAACAGCCCCATAGGGTAACCAAGGCTGTAATCTTTATGGGAGCAGATCACCAGGTCTTTTCTCCTGCAGAGCGACTGGTAGGTTAGAACCATTGACCTTTCAACGACTGAGCACTTAACCATTGTGCCACCAGGGGTTCCTAGGAGTAGCGTTGTTGTTATTGTTGTGTGCCTTTCAGTCGGTTCCAACTCATAGCAACCCTACGTACAACAGAACGAAACACTGCCCAGTCCTGTGCCATCCTCACAATCGTTGCTATGTTTGAGCCCACTGTTGCAGCCATTGTCAATCCATCTCGTTGAGGGTCTTCCTCTTTTTCACTGAAAAAGCATGATATCCTTCTCCAGGGACTGGTTCCTCCTGAAAACATGTCCAAAGTATGAGAGACAAAATCTTGCCATCCTCACGTCTAAGGAGCATTCTGGCTGTACTTTTTTCAAGATAGATTTGTTCGTTCTTCTGGCAGTCCAAGGTATATTCAATACTCTTCCCCAATGCCATAGTTCAAATGCATCAGTTCTTCTCTGGTCTTCCTTATTCATTGTCCAGTATTCATATGCATATGAGGCAATTGAAAATACAATGGCTTGGGTCAGGTAGAACTTAGTCCTCAAAGTGACATCTTTGCTTTTCAACACTTTAAAGAGGTCTTTTGCGGCAGATTTGCCCAATGCAGTATGTCATTTGGTTTTTGACTGCTGCTTCCATGGGCATTGATTGTGTAAAATGAAATCCTTGACAACTTCAATCTTTTCTCCATTTACCATGATGTTCCTTATTGGTCCAGTAGTAAGGATTTTTGTTTTGTGTTGAGGTGTAATCCATACTGAAGGCTGTAGTCTTTGATCTTCATCAGTAAGTGCTCCAAGTCCTCTTCGCTTTCAGCAAGAAAGGCTGTGTCATCTGCATGTCACAGGTTGTTAATGAGTCTTCCCTCCAATCCTGATGCCATGTTGTTCTTCATACAGTCCAGCTTCTCGGATTATTTGCTCAGCATACAGATTCAATAAACATGGTGAAAGGATACAAACATGACACACACCCTTCCTGATTTTAAACCACGCAGTATTCCTTGGTTCTGTTCAAACAACTGCCTCTTGGTCTACGTACAGGTTTTGCCATGAGCACAATTTAAAGTGTTCTGGAATTCCCATTTTTTGCAATGTAATCCATAATTTGTTATGATCCCCACAGTTGAATGCCTTTGCATAGTCAATAAAACACAGGTAAACATTCTTTCTGGTATTCTCTGCTTTCAGCTAAGATCCATCTGACATCAGCAGTGACATCTCTCGTTCCACGTCCTCTTTGTATCCGGCCTGAATTTCTGGCAGTTCCCTGTCAATGTGCTGCTGTAGCTGTTTTTGAGTTATGTTCAGCAAAATTTTACTTGTGTGTTATATTAATGGTATTGTTTGATAATTTCTGCGTTCTGTTGGATCACCTTCCTTTGGAATGTGCACAAATATGGATCTCTTCCAGTCGGTTGGCCAGGTAGCAATCTTCCAAATTTTTGGCATAGACGAGTGAGTGCTTCCAGTGTTGCATCCGTTTGTAGAAACATCTCGATTGGTATTCCATTAATTCCTGGAATCCTGTTTTTAACCAATGCCTTCAATGCAGCTTGGATTTCTTCCTTCAATACCATTGGTTCTTGGTCATATGCTACCTTCTGAAATGGTTGAATGTCTACCAGTTCTTCTTGGTACAGTGACCTTATGTATTCCTTCCATCTTCTTTTGATGCTTCCTGTGTCGTTCAGTATTTTGCCCAGAGAATCCTTCGATATTCCAACTCAAGGCTTGAATTTTTTCTTCAGTTCTTTCAGCTTGAAAAATGCCAAGTATGTTCTTTCCTTTTGGTTTTCTAACTCCAAGTCATTGCATATTTCATATAATACTTTGCTTTGTCCTATCAAGTCACCCTTTGAAATATTCTGTTTAGCTCTTTTACTTCATCATTTCTTCCTTTCACTTTAGCTACTCTACGTTCTTAAGAGCAAATTTCAGAGTCTCTTCTAACATCCATTTTGGTCTTTTCTTTCTTGTCTTTTTAATGCCTTTTGCTTTCTTCACGTATGATGTTCTTGATGTCATTCCCCAACTCTTCTGGACTTCGGTCATTAGTATTCAATGCATCAAATCTATTATTGAGATGGTCTGTAAACTGAGGTGGGATATACTCAAGGTTGTCTTTTGGCTCTAGTAGACTTGTTTGAATCTTCTTCAGCTTCAACTTGAACATGCATATGAGCAATTGATGGTCTGTTCCATAGTCTGCCCCTGGCCTTGTTCCGACTAAAGATATTGAGCTTCTCCACTGTCTCTTTCCACAGATGTAGTTGATTTGATTCTTGTGTATTCCATCTGGCGGCATACATGTGTATAGTCGTTTATGTTGCTGAAGAAATTTACTTTCAATGAATGGATCGTTGGTCTTGCAAAATTCTATCATGTGATCTCTGGCATCATTTCTATCACCAAGGCCATATTTTCCAACTACTGATCCTTCTTGTTTCCAACTTTCACATTCCAATCACTAGTAATTATCAACGCATCTTGATTGCATGTCTGATCAATTTGAGACTGCAGAAGTCGGTAAAAATCTTAGATTTCTTCACCTTTGGCATTAGTGGTCACTGCATAAATTTGAGTAATAGTCGTATTAACTGTTCTTCTTTGTAGGCGTATGGATATTATCCTATCACTGACAGTGTTGTATTTCAGGATAGATCTTAAAATGTTTTTAATAATGAATGTGACAATTGTCATTTGCCTCTTCAATTTGTCATTCCTAGTAGACCATACGATTGTCTAATTCCAAATGGCTAATACCAGTCCATTTCAGCTCACTAATGTCTAGGATACTGATCTTCAAGTATGCTATTTCCCTTTTGACAACTTCCAATTTTTCTAGATTCATACTTTGTACACTCCATGTTCTATTAATGGATGTTTGCAGCTGTATCTTCTCATTTTGAGTTGTGCCACATCAGCAAACAAAGGTCTCAAAAGCTTGACTCCATCTGCGTTAAGGTCAACTCTACTTTGAAGATGCAGTTGTTTCCCAGTTGTATTTTGAGTGTCTTCCAACCTGAGGGGTTCATACTCCAGCACTATTATCAATGTTCCGCTGCTATTCATAAAGTTTTCACGGCCATTTTTTTTAGATGTAGATCACCAGGCCCCTCTCCTTGTGTTAGTCGGGAAACTCTGCTGAAACTTGTCCAACACGGGTGACCCTGCTGGTATTTGAAATATCGGCGGCACAGCTTCCAGCATCACAGTGAATAGGACAGAGTAAGTAACTGAAAATAAGGCTGCTACAGAAGAGGGAGGACCCAGAGACAGACAAAACAAGGCTGGAGGAGTAAGTAGACACTGCATTGTGCAGGGCCCTGTGGGTCATTTTAAGGATTTCGTATTTTAGCCTATGTGCAATAGGAAATGCCTGAACAGTTTCAAGCAGGAAATTTACCGACTAAGACATGTTTTCAAGAGATCTATTTTAACCTCGTGTGTCAAATTAGTTGGGGGGAGGCAAAAATTAATCAGGGAGACTAGTTTAGGAGGTTTGACATTGGCTAGCAGCGATGGAAGTGGAGGTAAGTGGACGGATTCAAGACAAATAACATGGATCTCTGTGGCAATGGCCTGGAGTCATCACACCTGTAACTTAGACAAGAAGGCATCCCATGTTTGGGCCAGAATCTTGTTTGCCATAAATCCTCCCCAGGATCCAGGGCGTTCACTTCCATATTAAAGAGCAGAATGTGGCTCTATCTTGTCACGATGGAAAGTTATCAGATTTACATAGGGCTAGATGGTAATAGATGGAAACAGAGCACCTACACCTAGAAAGAGTACCACTAAGTATCAGGAGTCCATGGGTGTCACAAACGGTTAAGCACAGAACTACTAACCAAAATGCTTGCAGTTCAAACCCACCCATAGGCGCCTCGAAAGTAAGGCCTGGCAACCTACTTTCAAAAGGTCAGAGCCATGAAAACCCTATGAAGCAGTTGTACTGTCCACGTGGGGTCACCATGAGTTGGAATAAACTCAACAGCAACTAACAAGTATCAGCAAGTAAATGTTGGCCTCATTCCTGTCTATGAACTTAAAGGCTTGTGAGGAAGGATGAAAATCCCTACAGAGCACGAAAACTTTATCATTCCCACAAAGAAGGAAGATGACTTAGGTAAGAGTGAATAACCCATTGCCGTGGAGTCAATTTCCACTCATAAAGACCCTAAAGGACAGAGCAGAACTGCCCCACAGCGTTTCCAAGGCTGTAATCTTTATGGAAACATCTTTCTCCCACGGAGGGGTTGGTGGGTTTGAACCTCTGGCCTTTTGGTTAGCAGCCGCACTTAACCACTGCACAGTGTGAATAGTATATATGAAAGCAATGCTGATGCTCTTGGGGTTATGAGGGAGTTTTTGATTCCCTGAGCCACTCTCATCCACTCCAGTAATCAATTAGTCATTATACGGCATGATAATTATGAACCGTCTGCTTTGGAATCAGACTGAATTTGCATTTTTTGTGTAACTTCAAACTGTGAAATGGACATTAGTGTCAAATTAATAGGGTTGCAGTGAAGATTAAGAGATTCACATAAAGCACTTGGAACAATGCTTAGCCCACAAAGGCAGTCCTTATTTTTAATTCTTTCCCAATGCTGATTTTGCTTAAAACTCAGGGCTAAGCTTTCCTAAGGGTATATGAAAGTTAGTGGTCTCCCTAGAAGTTTCATTATCTTACACCACCAACTACCACCTGTTGCCATCGAGTCGATTCCAACTCACAGCAAACCTACAGGCCAAAGTAGAACTGCCCCATAGGGTTTCCAAGGAGTGGCTGGTGGATTTGAACTGATGATCTTTTGGTTAGCAGCTGAGCTCTTAACCACTGCACCACCACGGCTCCATTATCTTACATATTTTATTCTATATTCCTCAAAACCACCTATAAACATTGAACAGTATTTATTCCTAATTTTTCCAGAACATTTCATATTTAAGAACCCAAGAAATAAAGGGACATTTTTAAAAATACTCTGAATAATCTATAATCTTGCACTTTTCATGAATTAAGCTCAGTTGCACAAAGACTTAATCAAAGTTGAAAATTTGTCTCATTGATTCTAACAGCAATCTCAAGATCAGGGTCAGAGGAATACCCCCAAATGATTTACAGAACGGTAATATATTTGTTGTTTAAACCATTAAATTTGCGATTTTTACAGCAGCAACAGGAAAATAATATACCATGTAGTCAGAATTACACATGAACAGAATTTGCAAAGCTGGGAAAGGAGGTCAATTTCGGGGACTTTTAGATCTGGGGTGTACTTTAACCAAAAGGTATCCCTACCAGTTTTGCGATGCTTGCATATTTTATATAATAAGCATCCTTCAATATCTTCACCCAAGACAAATGTATGGAATCCATGCCAATATTAAAGATGAAAGCAAAATCTGCTATAGGCATATCACAATTCATGTACTTACAGTAAAAGTAATGAGAATAGTAAAAAGTAATGAGAATTAAATTGGTCACCCAAAGCATCAAGTTCCATGAATGTGGAGTAGAAGAGTACAATAGTTTTATTCTCTCTCATATCATGTAAAAATCATCGGAGAACAAAAATGTACTGAGTCAATCCAAATGATCAGAAAGGGATGCTATCATATAGAAGAGAAAGGTATCAAGGCTAAATGAAGTTACCAAGTTCTAAAGAAACGGTATGGCTCACTCTGATCTTTAAACAGACAAAAGGACAAAAAGTAGGAAACCACAAAAGTGAGGTGAGAGGAGACGACAGTGCTTTAATCTAACAGTTAATGTCTTAAGAAAGGCCAAAACTACACACACCCCATCACCACTTACTCTGGCAAAGGATTCCCCGTTTTAGGGCATTGTAAGAAAATCCACATGTAGCAAAAATCAGATGGCAAGTCCTGGGATGTAGTTGGCTCCACCTTGAGCAAAAGTCTAGGAAGGATTCTGTGAGAGGCTTGCACCAAAAGGGTGAAGCCCTAAGAATTATGTTAACCGGGTTGACTTGAGACTGCAGGCTTCAAGAGTGTTTCAGGTACCGGAGACCCTTGTTTCTCCTTCCATTTTAGTCAAGTCAGTGTAGATGAAAAGAAAAAAAAAGACAACTATATATCCAAGTTTTCTTACCCATTCTCCTTGATGGCACCATCAAAAACTTCAGAACTGAAGCAGCTCATTCTCCAAGTGCCCACATCAACTGGCAACAATTACAGCAGTAGGCCACTCAGAGTGCTTTTCCTGCCCTGACTACACTCACAGAAGAGTTAGACCTAAAACTTCTTAAGACTCTACCCAGTATTACCTATTGTCTTCCAAACTGGCATGTTAACAGGGATGTCAGAAAAAAAAAGTATACTTATAAAAGGTCTGTGAATACCTAAATTAAACCCAGTTATCTCAATCATGGCTACACACTGGAATCCCTTATGGCACTCACCAAATACCCCTACAGTCTGTAAATGTCTTTAGTTACAGCCAGGGCTGAGAACCACAAGCTGAATTTCTCAGAACCTTTAATATCCTAATGTGCATGGATGAGATTTTCCACAAAGGAGTGACCAATACACAGTGCTTTCTTAATTTACGTGACCGCAGAATTTTCTCCCCCTCAAAGAAAACAAACTTAGAAAATGCTGTTCCCAGGAATGAAAAGTAGTATGTTGAAAACAAGTGGAAATAGGAAAGAATGGGAAGTTAAATATCGTACAACGAAAATTATTTAAAAGACAACACAGACTTTGCTGACATGAAAACTCTTTTAATTGGATAGATACACATTTGACAAAATATTTTAGAATAAAATTATCCATGAACAGGCACAAGTAACAAACTGTAAAAAACATAAAAGTGATATATTTTTGAAACAGAAACATCTGTTTATAAAATTCTCTATTGTGAATGTGGAAGACTTTCAGTTCCTACTCATACCTCCAATCTTAAGCCCCAACAGGTGACATTTAAGACCCAGGAGTAGGAAATACAAGCTCTAACACATTTGGCAATTAAGGATCATCTATTGGCATGAGCTGGCAGGGAAGTGAAGAGCCAGATCTTGGGATAAAATACAGAATGGAAGACTCCGATGGAAAGTCTGTTTTACAGCTAAGGGCAAGAAAAACTATCATATTAACCTTTCTCTTATCTTCCTGAATTCACTCTATTTTTCCAAGTACTGTCCTCCAAAAGAAGGCTGCATACTATTTAAAAAACAACGTACTCAATTTTCCCCTTTAGCAGAAATCAGCAACCCTGAGACTCCAATTTTCCATGACATAAAAGCTAATAAACATCTAGAACTGTTCAAGATTTATAAATAATTTTACATGATCAAACAGAAACTTTGATCAAAGTAACTTTCAGGATCTGAAAATACATTTAAGGAAAGAACAAAATTTCTCTCCAATTAACTTTTCAAGCCTAACTCGTAAACATCTAACTTCTACTGTCCAAAATTAGTTTCACAAAAAGATATACTAGATGTTTTAAATTGAGTACAACGTGCTCATGATGGTTAAAATGGAATGCCTGCCTCTTCATATTATTATTCAAACACACTTAAAAGAAATGAGAAATTTTCATCCATCTGGAATATACAGTTAAGAATTTATTGATTTGCAAGACAGCCACATAAACAGACCATAAAAAAATAACCAAACACTTATTCTCTGTAATACTACCAAGACAATTTAACACAATACAACCATACACATCAACATCTAACCGATCCAATTAGGCTACTTAATTAGCTATATTTTCAAAGAATGGTTTTAACAAACACCTTTGTAGGGCATATACACACACTGTGTTTAAAAATTAAATCTGCTGCTCCTCCAGGGGTGGCTCAACAGCCTCCATTAGCTTTTTATTTGCCTCTTCATTATGCCGGCTTTGACAATGAGTTAAATGTTTCTTAAAGCCTCTTGGGAAATTTGATTCAAAATTACAACGTGGACACTTAAGTAAACTTTGCCCATGGGCAGCAACATGATTCTTAAGGAGAGATTCCAACAGAAAAGCCTTTCCACAAATTGTGCATTTGTAAGGGCTGTGAACATTATGCTTATTAACCAAATGATGCAAAACAGCACCTTTTTTCATAGCACGACAGCAACAAATTTTACAATAATACTTTCCTTTCCCACGCTTCATGTACTTTGCTATCTCCTCTTCAGAGATGAAAGCTTCTTTTTCTTCAGTAAATTGTAGTACGTTTTTGGACTGCTCTGGACTAGTTATATCCATTTTGTTCTCTTTACTAAAATCAATAGATTCCACATCAACCTGCTCTTGATCACTGCTCGATTCTTGGCCCTTGATATCTATGGCATCCAAATCTGTCTTGAGATACTCACTACTACTAAGCTCAGCATCTGAGTTCTCTTGGTTGTCTTTCTTGAGTTTCTTCGAGCAAGGAAATAAAGGATCTTCTAAAAGTCTCTTGGGTGTAGCTAGAAGTTCTTCGTGAACCAAAATATCACACTTTTGATCATCTATGGCATCTACCTGCAGTTCATCCCCAAGTTCAAGTGCCTTCTGAGATTCTGAGAATACAGCAGATTTAGGAAGTTCAGGGAAAAGGGCATGTTTCCTGGGCTCTGGAAAAAGAGCACGCTTTCGTGGCTCAGGAGAAGCAGTTGGGGCTGTTTTGGTGGGCTCAGAAAAAAGGGCGGGTTTCCGAGCCTCAGTATCCATAGAGAGAACAGGTTTCCAGATCTCTGAGGCTGCTTTAGGGGATTCAGATGGCCCAGAAGGACCCGCTTTCCGGGTTTCAGGGAAAACGGGAGGTTTCTGAGGCTCAATAAAAAAGGAAGACTTCCAGAGATCAGGAGAACCACCACGCGAACTTTTCTGGGACTCAGGAAAATCAAGAGGGGCAGGAGAAGTTTTCCGTTGATCAGGGGAAATCTTCCAAAGCTCTGGCGACCCTGAGGGTTTTCTGAGCTCTGGAGATCCCGCTGGGCTACGGATCTCTGGGGACAGTGGTGGGCCTGGTTTGCGAATCTCCGGAGACAAGGGAGGTCCTGTTTTACGGAGCTCAGAAGACACTGGGGGAACTGCCTTCCAATGTTCAGGTGACAAGGTGGGAGTTGCCTTTCGGAGTTCTGGTGGGCCAGATTTCCATGACTCAGGAGACGCAGGGGGAGATTTCCACGAACCAGGGGATGCTGACGAAGACTTCCAGGATGAAGGGGACACAGATGGAGCTGGTTTCCAAGGTCCAGGTGATACAGAAGGAATTGGTTTCCAAGGTCCAGGAGACACAGATGGAGCAGGTTTAGCTGGCTTCCAAGGTCCTGATGATGCCGAAGGACTAGATTTCCACGGTCTAGGAGACCCAGGTGGCCCTGCCTTCCAAGAACCTGGTGACACAGCTGGGGCTGGTCTCCTAGGCTCTGAGGAGACAGCAGGGAACGACTTCCAAGATTCAGGAGACTCGGATGGGGATGGCTTCCTGGGCTCAGGGGAGACAGTCCGGGCTGATTTCCGAGATTCTGGAGACGCAGCTGGGGATGGCCCCCAAGGTTCAGGGGAAGCAGCTAGAACTGGTGACTCTGGAGATGAAGCTGAAGGTGGCCCCAGTGTTTCTGGGAAATGAGAGTGTTTCTGGGGTTTGGTATTAGTAAGAGTACTCTTTACTGGTTCAGCAGATACAGGAGCAAGTTTCTGTGGTTCTGGAGAAGGAACAGGGACAGGTTTCTGAGATTCAGAAACAGCAGGAACTGGGTTTGGAAGTTCAGGAGAAGAAACAGAAGCAGGTTTTGGAGGCTCAGGAGAAGTAAGAGGTATCTGTGGCTCAGAAGAAACAACAGGGCCAGGTTTCTGAGGCTCCAGGGGAGTAAGAGGAGTAGGTTTTGGTGATTCTGGGCCAAGTTTCTGAGTGTCTATAGAAAGGACAGGTGCAGGTTTCGGTTCTGCTGAATTAGAGGGTATTTTCTGTTGCTCAGGAAGAGGAGTGCTTTTCACAAGATCTGTTTCTTTGTTCAGCTGATTTTTTGGTTTATCATTCCATTTCTCTGGGGCTGCATGTTTGGATGTGATATGATAGTATACATTAGAGTACATCTTGCTGGTGAAGAAGCACTTATGGCAGTGAAATAGCTTTGCACTTTTCTGGTAAAATATCATTTTACCTAATCCACCAGCATCCATTTCATCACAAAATTCTGGATGGATGGTACCCATATGGATTTGTACATTTTCATAATCAGAGCCCCTGAAACTGCAGTGGTCACACCCCAAACGTACTGATGGCTTACGAAGTTCCTGGAATACTTCCATTTTTCCTTCTGTTACAACACACAGGATTATATTCTTTAAAACTTTCAAAATTGCTGCAACAAAGTAGAAATAAATTATTTTCATGGAACATAATTTTGAATAAAAGGCTGTCCTAATCCATTCTATAAGTGCAAAATTTTAAGTCTAGAATGGCTTCTGTATTTATTAGATAATACAACTCTATAAAGATTTTGGAGATGAGGAGGAGAAACAGAACTCATTTTTAACTGAGTCCTAGGTACTCTGCCAGGAGTTTTGCATACATTATCTCATTTAACCCTTCTAACACTATGACGTATTACTTTCATTTACAGATGAAAAAACTGAAGTTCAGAGAAATGACTTACCCAAAGTTATAGGACTATGAATGATGGAGCTGAGGTTCACATCCAAGCCTGATTCTAGAATTATCTACTGTATGTGCCTTACTTTGACTCTCAAAAATCTGAATCAATGAGCACACAAATCTTAGAATATATCAAAATTAAATCTAGGTTATTTAAGGCTGAGCACTAGTATAATATGCCTTATACTTTAGATAAAGTAATTTTTAAACTTTTCAGAAAGCAATTATTAAACTAAATCTATCTATGAAAAGATGGCTATTTTGTTTTTTTACTTGTTGGCTTATTTAATGTCAACATATAATGTTTTATCTATCCTAATACAGTCATTGATTTAATAAATGAATTATTTTATATTCCATGCTGTTCTAGGCACTTGGGTTTTCAGCAGTTGTCCTGCAATATGTAGCATACATTTTTGGGAAGATAGTGTGGAAAGCAATGTAGAAAAGGTGGTCAGGAAAGATCTCTTTTTTTAAATTTTTTAAGCCAGTCTTTTTAGGTGGTAAAATTCACGTAAAACCTGTTGCCACTGAGTCGATTCCAACTCATAGCAACCCTACTGTACCATAGGGTTTCTAAGGAGCAGCTGGTAGATTCAACTGCTGACCTTCTGGTTAGGAGCCGAGCTCTTAACTGCTACGCCACCAGGGCTCAAATACTAATCTAAGCTCATAGTTAAAAACAAAATCATTTACACAGTACCAGCATACTTACATAGAATCAGTCCCTAGAGGCAGCCACTGCACCTATGTATCATTGTAAAATTTTACCAGGCATATACAAATCCACACATACATTTTACAGAAATGAAATCATATTAAACATACTGTTCTGAAATTTACTTTCATTTAAGAATTTATCTAGGACACTTTTACATATAGAGTAAGGATTCAATTTCCTTGTATGTAGTTTGAATGTGAGGATATTTCTGAAGGGAAAATTCCGTTGAAGTTGATTATCTAGTTCAAAGACTATATGCATTTAAAATTGATACGTTTTATCACACTCTCAAACACTTGTAGTGCTATTACATACCAGCCAACAGTATGAATATGGGGACAATTCCCCACTCCTTCATAAACACTACTATTAAACTTCTTAATCCTCACTACTTGTTAGGCTAAAACTGGTATCTCACTATTGTTTTAATTTACTCTTCCTTAATGTGTAAGAGTAAACATTTTTTTCAGTTTATTAGCCACTTTTATTTCTTTTTCTATGAATTACAGGTTCATTTCCTTTGTCCATTTTTCTTAATGATTCATAAGCTGTCTTTGCATGTACAATAAATCAGGCCTGTTATTGAGAACATTTCTTCCTGTTTATCGTGGTTTTTTTTTTTTTTTAACTTCATTTGTGGTGTATTTTACCATACATAATTGGTTTACATAAAGATTTAAAACTTTAAAATGCTTTCCTTATGACTATGGCTTTTAAGTTTTGCTTAAAAAAAAAAAAACCTTCCTGTGTCAACATTATTTTTTTAACTTAATTTATTAGACCAAAGACACCCTGTAAGTACCAAATTTGAGAAAATTCATTGTAGAAACAAAATGGAAAGATTTTCTTAAAATGTAAACGTATCACCCATAATATGACCAGCACATGATTTCATTTTTGCATCTTCCCCTTCAGCTCTTATCTGTATCAATGTCTTGAGGTAGCTACAATTCAGTGTATTATAATCATAAGTAACATACAATTCTGAGATTCAGTTTTTTCCACGCATTGTCATATTGTAAGCATTTTTCTCCAGCACTTGATACTCTTTATAATTATCACTGATGATGGATGACCAACATTACTATTTTAAAATCACTTAGTATTTTTTCTTATGACTTTGACAATTTCATTCTGTTTTTACATCTTTATCTTTAATTCATCTGGTACAAGGAGTGAGGTAAGAATCCAGCCTATTTTTAAATCGCAAACAGCTAGTTCAGTTGTTTCAACATTGATTAATCTTTTTTCTCACTGGTAATGTGTCAGTTAGCATTTACTAAACTTCATGTGGATGATCATATGCCGGACTCTATTATTTATCGGTTCCATCTGGCAGTGCTTTTCTCCTCACAGTATCCAACAACAGCTAGAACAGATTGTTACTAATATACGGTGAATTTTATTCGCCAGGTGGATTATAAAATTTTTTCACATTAAATTATGCTGCATCATTTACCAAGAGTACTAACCACTACTAAGTATCCGATATACTGCGTACTAATGGTAATGACAGTGTAAAAACGTACTCATTCCATTTTAGTGTTCCTCAAAGAACAGATTAGAAGCACTTCTAATCACAGGGGCTCACTTATTAATTAAAAAAATTAATAACATTTCTAATTTTGATACTATCTGCTTTTAAAGATGTTATTATTGGCTATCGTTTTATATCATCTGTATCAGTGGTTTATCACTTGCTTTTTTTTAGTCTAAGTTGAAAAGGCAATAGATAGTTGAGAAAACAAATGTTTTTCTTCAGAAAGCAGCAGCTCTTTCTGAATTACCTTTCAATTATACTGTCTTTTAGAAAATTGCTTGTAGGATTTTCTTGTTCTCTGTAATTTGGGGGTGGTGGTGGAGAGGAGGACTACAACAAAAGAAAAATATAATCATTTAGTACTGAAGACAAAAATCTCTAAAACGAGAAGACGTTCGTGGAAAATGGAAGATGTATCTCAATAACTCCATCAGGCCCTAAGCGGCAATAACGAGCAGCTGAGGGATGATCAGATTAAGAGGCATTGGTGAAGAGCTCGGCTGCTAACCAAAAGGTGATTGGTTTGAACTCACCAGCGGCTCCATGGGAGAAGATGTGGCAGTCTGCTTCCGTAAAGGTTTATAGTCTTGGAAACCCTGTCCTATAGGGTCCCTATAAGTCAGAATCGACTCAACCACAATGGGTTTGGCGTTTTTTGGTATAACACAGAGGTGAAGAGCTCAGGCTTGCAAGGTGTGCATCCTGGCTCTACTACCTACTTTGTGGCTTTTGTCAAGTTAAACCTTTCCATGCTTAAGTTTCCTCATCTGTAAAATGGATATGATAACATCAGCTATGTTATAGACACAAATACTTTGTAACGTGTTTAGAACAATATCTGATGCACAGTAAGTGTTCAATGTCAGCAATTATTATTATATTAGAAACTAAAGTAACCTCTAAAAAAATATCCTCCTCCAGCTTCTGGTAATTAAATAATCCCAAATCACCCTGGTAAAGTTATGGCTGACCAACACATAGGATACTCCACAGTAGCTCATCCAAAAAAGATACTCATTTATCTAAGCCCTGTTTGTGAGAGGCAGAAAGATATTATTTTCATGATTTCTGTTTAAATTTCTTAAGCTTACTTAAGCAAACTATTAACTATAGAAACATTTCCTATCATCTCAGAATTTGGTATACAGCATTTCTATTTTCTAATTTCAATGTAAGACTTACTGAGCCGCAACCCTCCTCTTTTTGCATAATGTATGGTCCTATTAACAAAGTAATTTTCTTGGTTTTGTCTATGCTAACTCAGCAACTCTTATTAATACTATCTCATAAAATACAGGTCCATCAAAGAACTCAGTAAGTATATAATACAAGGATTTCATAAGCTGTAAAGATAAAGCCTTTTCTATTCCCATAGGAATGACAGAGATATTGACAAATCCATATCTCATAAACGGGCTCTGTAACAGCAGAGAACCAATTTCCTCTTTAAGTCCTCGCTCCCCTTTCCCAATTGCTAGTCAACTCTTGTGATCCCTTTCTGTATGCAAAGCTTTACCCACTTTTTCTCTGTATTTCTAGTTTTAACTGTATTTCTCCCTTTTGAAATCTTATACCAACGCTACATCACACAGCTATACGAGTCTCTGTTTCTAATGAATAACAGCTGGGCTAATTCCTGCTTCTCTGGTGCCTAATAGCTCCAGCCATCTCAACTTCTCTGGCTGAACAACAGCATCCACCTGTCCTTAATTGCTGCACCCATTCCTTTCCTGTTCCTTAATAAAAGTACACCATTTATCCCCATTCCTTTTCATTTCAGTTTTTATTAAACCCCAACTGCTCCTCAAGACTTCTGTCATTCCCTATCTCTTCCAACTGCCCCTCCCTTTTTCTTCCTACCACCAACTCTTTCAGCCAATCTCAAAAGTTTCTAATACCCATGCCTGCCTAGTATTACCAGGCCTCATTATCGTACTCAGACAACCTTTTAAAAAAAATTTTTAAAGAATGCTACAGAATTCACTTCTCAAACCCCAAATTCTATCATAACTCATTGCCGATGAGTCGATTCCGACTCATGGAGACCCCATGTGTTACTGACTAGAACTGCTCCATAGGGTTTTCTTGGCTGGCATCTTTACGAAAGCAGATCGCCAGGCCTTTCTTCTGAGGCATCACTGGGGGTGTTTGAACTGCCAACCTTTAGGCTAGCAAAAGATCACAAACCATTGGCACCAGTCAGGGACCTTAAATAGTATCACAGATATGTACATACAGTATACTTTCATACATTAATTACTATGATATGGTGTGTACACTTTTACATAGAAAGTTTTTGATGTATATGCTTTTATACAAAAAGTTTTTCCTCCAAAAAACTCCATGCACTTTTCAAAGAAATTTCTCATTACAAATATTCTCTTAAACATTAAAAAATGAAAATATTAAAAACAAACAAAAAAATATGCAAAGTAATGCTGGTGGAATACCACTTTATAAATCCAAGACAAGTGCTTTTAGGGTGAAGAAGAAACACAGACAAACATGTTTTTTCCTAGGAGACTTACCAGCTGTCTTATCAGAGGCCTTAAAAGCAGTCTTCAAACGACAGGCAACTTAACATGGTTTTTTGACTAAACCACAGAAAATGCCGTAGTACATGAAGGAGAAAGATGAGAAGCTGAACCTGGGGGATAAAAAAAAGGTAATCAAAATGATAATCTGTACCCCCTGTAAGAGAATTCTGATTACTTCTCTCACCTCCTTTAGCAGTGAGAGCAATCAAATCAAACAAGTGTGATTAATAATTAATGAAACAAAACCAAATATGGGAAGTTTTGTGGGAAACTGCAACCCATGCAATCCATGGCACCTTGTCCAATTTCAGCTGCTAACCTAAAGGTTGGCAGAAACCCTATGGAGCAGTTCTACTCTGTCCTATAGCGCCGCTATGAGTTGGAACGGACCTGACGGCAGCAGGTTTGGTTTGGTTTGGTTATGGAAGTAATGCCCACGTGTATAACCAAACCCTTCTCAAACCCTCCATCCAACTTTAGCCTATGTAGCCTCAGGGGACAGTGATACACATTTGTACCTCCCTGACAACCACTCAAAGGACCACAGACTACAGGACCACCTGACGTTTTGTCAATTATAAATACTACACAGCAGAGTGACAAGTTAACAAGCAGTTAACTTGCCACCTTGCCACTATTTTAACTCTGGTACCTGATCACTCTGCCTCTAGATTCACTTCCTTCCAATCCACTCATCATACTGCTACCAAAGTCATCTTCCAAACACAGAAATCTAACGTCACCTGCCTGGTCACAATTCCTCAGAGGCTCATCAATAGCTACAACACAAAATTTAAACGTGACAGACAAAGCGCTCCATAAGTTGATCCCCTGCCTTCCAGTTTTCAGCCTTGCATCCTCCCTAGTGTAATTCCCTGACTGTTCAAGCTTCCGTACTTTTGCATGAGCTGTTTCTTCTCTTTTATGTTGCCCATTCCTGTCCCTCAACCACTAGACAAATCCACACCCATCCTTCAGGCAGTATTTCTTCTCAGGTGTTTATTTCTCAATTTTCCACTGCCTCCCAGTCATCCTTGGATCACCCTTCTGTATACACACCTCCATTACAGCAACTATCTTACAGCACTATAACTTGATCCACATTAGGTGGTGAGCTCTTGGGATGGCAGGGACTATTTATTCACCTTTGTAACATTTGCACATCCTGGCACACACAAGATGTTCAGAAAATACCTGTTCACTCTATTAACATTCTCTCATGAAGACTGAGAATGTGATCAGAGATTGGCAGGATTTTAAAACTGGAAGAGACTTAAGCTACTATCTAGCCTTGGAGTCACGGGGCTTTAGGGTAGGAGAAGACCTCAGGGATCAACTACTGAAATGCAAGTCTAAACATTAAATAACTTACCCCCCCCCCAAAAAAAAACCCCGTTGCCGCCGAATCTCATAGTGACCCTATGGGACAGAGTAGAAATGTCCCATAAGGTTTCCAAGGAGCGGCTGGTGCAGTCGAACTGCCGATCTTTTAGTTAACAGCCATAGTATTTAACCACTGCACCACCAGGGCTCCAAACTTACCCAGGGTAAGGTAAATCATCAGCATCTGATGAAGGACTAGAATAAGTTTTGCAATCCACTCATATCCTGTCTAGTTATATCATGATCAAACAAATACTGTGGAATTTGGTAAGATCTTGAAAAGCCAGTGCATAGGCCAAAATCAACAAGGTGAAAAGTATCAAACATTTAGAATCCAAGTATCAACTGCAGAAATACAGGAGCACAGAGAACTGCATCCCACAAGCTGGACTGGACAGAGCATCCCACTGGATCACTGTGTCCAGCTCTGGGCAGGAAGGACACTTTAAGAGAGCCAGTAACAAACTAGGGAATACTCAAAGAAAGCAACCAGGATGGCAGGTAGTCTTCACAAGTCATTTGTAATAACTAGAAATATTTAACTTCAGGACGGGAAGAATTATCGAGAATATGTAAGCTGTCCTAGAAACAGCAAGTGGAAGGCAGCAGGAAAACAGATTTTCAGCTCAACCGTAAAAGAGTTTTACCAACTACTCCATCACGGACTAGAACAAGTTGCCTTGTCAGGTAAGAGCACCCCATAACTGGAAGTCAACGATCAATATAGGACTGATAGGATCCTCAGAGAACCTGAGTCTAACCTTTTCATTTTACAATTGAGAAAACGGATGCTGAGGGAAAGATGCAACAATTAGGTACAGAGAAAGCAACAGGAGATCCGGGTTTCCCCTCTTGGTTCCATTCTAACACCCCACACTCTCTTTTCAACAGTAGCTGATCACCCCCGAGGATGTTCAGTGAGTTCAGAATCCAGCTTCTAGGTATAGGTTAGACACCTGCGGTTCCTTCCAGTTTTAAGATTCTAGTAAATTGTTTTTCTAAATCTCACAGCTCTTAACACTGGACAGAAACTATAAAAGGAACTAAATTGTCCAGATGAAAAACAAAACAAAAACAAAAAAACTCCATTCCACTTTTTTCGTCTATAGAACCAACATCTTGACTCTAAAAAACATAAATTCTAATCATTGGTGCTTTGTCATCCCATCATCCAGGATTTCTCAATGCAGTTCTATATCATACGGTATTACACCTATTTCTCGTTTCTCATCCAGTTTCCTCCTTGAAGGCTATCAGTGACCATCTTTAAAATATATTTTAACGTACAGCTTTTTAAAATGAAATTCAATATACGGAGCATATTTCAAGCTAATTGAGTTCTATTCTCTATAGTACTACTGGTAGTGTTCGTTATTATTCTTTTATTATCAATTATCTTTATAAATCCTATCTTTGACCATCTGCAAGTGAATATCTGAGAATGATAATATCAGCAAATTACGAGCTGCAACACTGTATACAGTACATATCACTAACAATAAGATGTACAAAAAAACAAAACAAAACGGTCGTAAGTGCGGTTGTGGTAACGCGAATACGTCGTGAGCTGGGACTACCTGCAGTATTGTTCTTCACCCCTAGTTGATTTTTAAACAATATCAGAAGCTGAGGCAGACCAGAGGCAGAGAAAATAGCATCTAAGACTAAAACAGAAAACAATGTCTTTCTTCCTATGCCAGGTCCCAACTTCCCAACGGGTTTTAAGTAAAATGTTTCCTGTCTCCGATGCAACTGACACCCTCAGCATTCCTTTAGTTCTTTGCAAAACTAGCGGGTTTCCAGAAGCTCGGCCTTGCCCGAACCAAAGGCCAGGTTCCTCCACTCCGCGGTGACGTCCCAAAGCAGTGCCTGCTCGGACCAAAGATATGCCGGTCCTCACGCACAAAAGCGCAGTCGGGACCACCGGCTTCTCCCTAGACGGGCCCCTAGCGGGGCACCCGACAGGGTGGGGGCATGTCCGCGCGAGCAGACCCTAGGGGAGCGACAAGCTCCCGCACCGCTACCCCGGCCCCTTTCTTCAGGAAAAGCCGACGACCTCCTCTGGGAGACTAGCCCGGGTCTGCGCCGGCGGCCGGGACCCTCGGGCCTACAGCAGGCCCGCCGGCCGCGCGTCCCCGCCCCCATGGCCGCCCCTCCCCCGCCTCCCGTGCCTCCTCGGTTGTCTCGCTCCGGTTTCTCACCGATCCGGCCCGCGGGCGGCGTCCAAGTAAGGTGAAGGGAGAGAAGGTGGGATGGACGGCGGGGAGGGCCGGCTTCTCCTAGCCGGGGGTTCCCGGCAGCCCAAGCTGCTCCGCGGCGCCCCTGCGGAGCGCGACTGCCTTCCCGAATGGCGACGCGAGACGCAGAGAGCTGGGCTCGGGGCACACGAGCGTGCGCGCGGCCGCGGGAGTAGGGGCGGAGCCGGGGGCGGGGCGGGACTGATGGGTGAGCGGGGAAGCGAGTTTACCGCCGCCTCGCGCGGACCAATCAGCTGGCGGATCGCGTGGCGCCCCAATGCCAAGAGTGAGCCGGATTGTGGAGCATCCCCCCGCCCCGCAACCGGAAGTGCCTTGCGCGTCCACCTGCCCCGCCCCCGCCTTCCGCGCGCGGGAACCCCAGCCCTCGGGAAGGTCTGGGCGCGCGCGGGGAGAGGGAGGCGGGGCCCTGGCGGCCGTGCAGAGCGGGTAGCGGAGCCCGCTGGGCTTGGGCGGGTAGTGGTGTCGGCCATTCCCCCTCAGTGCCCCTCCACCCATTTTCCAGAGACCCGAGTCCGGTCATGGGTGCAGCCGCAGACCGCTGCCGCAAGCCATTGTTTCTTTGTTTTGTTTCTGTCTTTTGTTTGATCTTTTAAAATTAAAGGCCCATTAACCCTAAAGTGCTTTGGCACCAAGGCAATGCGGTGGCAAGAAGAAACTGTGTTTAAATTCTTTGCGCCTCATATACTTGGGTGGATCTTGTTACCTGTAGGACGAAGACAAAAATCCTTACGCCAGCCTTCCCGCCCTACTTCGTCTAAGCCAAGTTTCTCTTTGAATAAACAAGGATTTATTCAAGCTCTTTGTCGGTGTCTCGAGTCTTAAGGTCATACACTCTTCAATTTTGCAATGATTTTGATTTCGAATAATACCAACTGGAAGTGTTCTAGGAAATTTTCTGATTTTGTTTTTTTAGCAGAAGTGATTAAATCTGATCTAATTTACTATAATAACTTTGTTTTTTTAAAAAAAGAAAAACTTCCCACATAAAGTTATTAAAATTCTAATTTACTTTGTCCTTCTGGGCTCAGCAGACACTGCCTAAATGAAGCCGCCTCCGTGAGGCGAGACGAAGCGAACTTGCCCAACGACACTGGAAGCTCTTTGGGGGAGGGATTGCGTGTCACTAGTTCCGCCTACTAGCTCATTGCCTGGCACAGATAGGTAGGTGGTCAGCAAACACTGGATGATCAAATAATAAGTGGATGTCCAACCCTTCCCATCCCCCAAGGCTCACCTCTGTAATGACCTCCCCCTCATGAAAAAGCTCTTTGTAAAAAAGAAAAACTTGAACATTCCACTAGAAATACGGTCCAAGGACAAAAACAAATAATTTACTAAAAAACAAATGTCGAATAAGCAAGTGAAAAAAAAAAAATCTTAGGCCTTGTTAATAAAAATGCAAATTTTTAAAAGTACTTCGTAAACTGTAAATATTAAATGCAGACAGGAAAGGATCTTTTCTCTGAACATCAAGTTTTTACATATTAAGAACTTTTGAAATTGTGGTCTTTAATGTGAAGTTCTTTTGTGAAAGTATGTGCAAAGATGGCATGCTGTTTGTCTTAAGTCTGTATTAAGCAAGTTTATAATCATTGTGATGTGGGTGTTGCTGTTGTATCAGCGTTACTTAAATAACGTGCAACCCTTTATTATGGTTGTCGTTGTTATTCCTAAGGCCATTACCTGGAAGGTAGTTTCGTTTGACACTCATATCACATAATTTCCATTTAAAGAACTGGTTAGAGCCCAGAGACTGGTAACAAGATACCAGTTTATTATTTATTCAGCTGGCAAAGATCAGCTGTCTCTAGGGTAATTTTTCAATGAAATATCAATTTGTGCAAGAGCACTGTCTTTTTGGTGTTCCATGCTTTTTCCCTACAAAAGGAAGTCCTCTTAGGTCTATACGTGGTTGCAGAGTATGTGACCACCTCAGTGGGTGCCTCTTCAGCAGGGTGGAGCAGGGCCTCTCAGTCACCTGGGCACACACAGTGCTGGGTTGCTTTTCTTCAAGAAGCCTCTTTGGAGCCTTTGAAGCTTCTGCTGTGGATTCCATTTTTAGAAACAAGCTTCATTGCGCCTGCAGGCCTTAATTTGAAGAGTTGCTTTACTTGGTTCTTTCCTGAAGTGTTTGAACGAGTTGGTTATCCCAAAGACCTATCTCAACTGGACTCTAAGCAAACCTCTAGCATAGGACAACTCTTGGAAGCCAAAACCTAGACTGTGATAGGGTGATAACTCTGGCTCTTTTTTATTGATGTTTTCTTTGCAAATTAAACAATAACAACAAAACACACATACAAAAAACCCTCTGCCATTATTTTGAATTGAAATTATGTAAGCAAAGCTGCAGTTATAGAATATGTAAATAGTTCAAGATAATAATGCAAATAAACTCACAATTATTGAACTGTTGGTGTTTTTACAATCTCTCAGAATATTGCCTTAAACTTGAAAGTAGTCAAAGAAAGCAGAGACAATGCTTACAAAATCCTGTACTAAACTAGGCCCTTATAGATTTTCAAACAAAGCTTTATTTAAGGCTTTGGTTTAGCATATAATTAACAACCTATTTGACTGTTTTCGCAACCTACTCTAGATTCCAAGGGCCAAACTCATTTAGAGAATGGGTGAAGGCAAGTGAACTAAACTGCAGACAGAAGCGACGGCCTGATACTCTTTTGGAAG